CAGGACCTGGCACAGCTGCAGAACAGCCCCTGATCTCACAGGATGTGGCACAGCTGCTGGGCAGCCCCACAGCTGACAGGACCTGGCACAGCTGCTGGGCAGCCCCACAGCTGACAGGACCTGGCACAGCTGGAGAACATCCCCACAGCTGACAGGACCTGGCACAGCTGCAGAGCAGCCCTATAGCTGACAGGACCTGGCACAGCTGCCAGGCAGCCCCACAGCTGACAGGACCTGGCACAGCTGCAGAGCAGCCCCTGATCTCACAGGACCTGGCACAGCTGCGGGCGCTGGCCCGGGCTGGTGCTCACAAACCTCTCCCAGCCCTGCCCCGGCGCTCCTGGCAGGGCAGAGCTGCCGCAGCCTCTGGCTGAGGACGGGAGGTGCTGGGTAGGGTGTGAGCAGCCCTGGCCACGGCGGAATTCACAGGTAAGCTATGGACAGCTAATCCTCTCCCAAAGGCTTCTCCATATTCCCATGGTGTACAAATTAAATCCGACTCTTGAGTATTTTTGTGTTTTCCAGAACTTGTCTAAGTAATGACAGGTATATACCTAAAAAAAAACCCCAACCAACCAAAAAAAAAAAAAAAATCTTGGCAAAGTGTAACAATAGAAAGGGGATTCTGTGCTGGATTTGCTTTGTTCCAAATGAATTAGTTCCAGGACTGATCCTTCAGTTGTGTTTAGCTGCAGAGACAAAATCTCACCAGACTTGGCACTATTGGACTGCAGGAAAGTGACAATACCTGAGCTTTGGAAATGTGTGTGAGAAACAGGCTGTTAACTGCCAAGGCCAGGGCATGGAAGGGGCGCTCGGGAGAAATTTAGGTGGCTGCTCTGTTTTCTGACACATTTGGGCACAAGAAAAAAGCTTCTAGCAAGGTTTATGAAGTCCTGGTGGGGCTGAACCACAGTGCCTGTAAAGTAAGCACAGCCCCTGCCCCAAATTATTGCTTCATGTCACCAATTTTATGGACAATATAAAGCTCCATTGATGCTAGTGACTATTGCACAGCATAAGTCGTGCATGGGGAAGAATTCCTTCTCCAAAAACATCTATTTCATTGTGCTCTATATCTTAGTGTACTAGAACTAATCTACTAAAATATTCATGTAGCAAAGAAAAACTGGAATAAAAAAAATGAATAAAGTATGTGCAGTGTGTCAGAATTAATGCACCTAGTGGAACATTAACTTTTGTATTTCTATGATTTTTTTAACCTTGCTACCTTAATGGCATTCTGAAGCAGCACTTTACATTTAGTATTTTTCTTTTTTAAAGTTCAAAGATTAAAATGGAGTAAGGGTAGGAAGGGGAGGGGTAAGTGGAAGAAGATAAAAAAAGCTCCAAGAATCATAGAGCTGGGTCCTTTGATTGGTAGGTAAAGCTCATAAACAATTTGAATTAATAATTTCCTACCGAGGATGAAATTCCAAACATGTAAGCATAGAAGGCTATGCAATAACTAGGGAAAAATTCAAAAAAAGTCTTTCTGAGATTTAAGAGAATCATAGGCAGAGCTGACCCTCAGTCTTAAATGAATTTCACCTTTACATGGCTGTTTTTCTAAAAGAGTGTGCATGAAACATTAATACTTTTGCATGGAAAATTCCACATCTGGGTTGTATTTTCATTTTCATTATGGAAGTCTGCTGCACATGTGCTGAACTTCGGGCTCAATAAAGAGCCATCTTTATTAAAACCTGATTTTTAAAATTATATGAGTAATTTTCAATATTAAAGGCTTCTGGAAATCCAAACTGTAAGAATGGTTTTGAAAATATTGAAAATTGCCTGACTATTCTGCCCCCAGCTACAAATCAGATGAAGCCTTTTATGCTCTGACTCAAAGGGAAACAATAACATTTTTGGCAGCAAAATAGTTGAGGAAAATTATATTCCAAACTGAAAATTTTATGAAACCAGAGAGTTTGAGAACAAAAGAGAAAAAGGAAACAAGGTGTTTTTTGATGAAGGCAGCTTTGCAAGTGGAGCTGTGTTGGGTGTGGCAATCCCTGCTGGTTCAGGCTGCAGAGGGTTAAACCCTGAACCCTCCTGGGGGTACCTGCTCCATCCCCAGGTGTTCAAACCCCTGAACCCTCCTGGGGGTACCTGCTCCATCCCCAGGTGTTCAAACC